TGGCCGTTCAGGGTAAATGGGTATCCGAAAACAACACCTAGGTTACCAAGCCAAAGCCAGAAGGTTGGGATGTCACATGATCCGGCTTTATGTTTAGGTGCGCTTTTGGCTCTTGGGTTACGGTTAAGGTGCCTTTGGAAACTGGCAGGTCAGGTTCAGGGCTTGATTTTAGCAGCTCATGGCCCCAAAAACTCCAAGAGACCTGACATGACCTAACCCTAAAGATCAAAAAAGTACTGTGATATACGATATGGAAGTTTCCGAAAATCGGGGACCCTAATATAGTACCTTAAATAATTAGTAGGATCCTTATATTATGGACCCCAACATAAAGTACCCCCGCATTCTCGGAAACTCCCATATTGATATACTGACTAGGTGTTAAGGGTTCGGATTAGCACTGCACCCTAGCAGAACCAGCAAAATTCCAGGCCGTTCCTACCAGTCACGAAAGTGACCATCCCAAAAACGGCGCTCTTTCTTGTCTCTCTTGCGGCTGCAGCTTGCTACGCGATACACTGGATCAGCTTGTGTCCAGTCTCTCGTGTAGGGCCTCGTCAGCCGACATATACAGCAAATATCCTAGACTTTCTACTGGACGGGAGAGCGTTTTGCTTCCCGGCCGTTGAAAGTCGGCATGACCAGCTGGGTTCGGACAATAGGATTCAAGCTGCAGCCTCATTCTCTTGCTACCATGAACTCAACCCTATACTGCCCTAAACCCTAAACCCAATATAGGAAATGTAGGTGCCTTAACAATTAGACGAGGGTTTTGGGGCCCATTATACTATAACTATAAACATAATAAGGAACCCCACAATATAGTCTTGGTCAGTGTTTAGGCTCCTATGATACCCTTAGCCTTAACCCCTTAAGCCCTTAAACCCGCACACCCTGCAACCCTAAAGTCCGGTCGTCAGTTCGCCGATCGCAGCAAGCTAGCAAGTGTCCCTTATCCGCACGAACCGAGCCGTCCTATTAGGGCTTACAGTTAAGAGTAGCCCCTACCTGCCTTGGTCTTCTTCTAACGATTTCGTTTCGGTGGCATAGCTTCGCGTGTGCATAGGCATGCAAGCATGCCCAGATCAATGCATACACGCAATGATTCCTATGCATCCACACACTTTCCATACGCACAAACGGCAGTCACCCCAACAAATGCATGTGAATCAATGTGAATGAGAGGAAGGGGGAGAGAAACGAGAAGTGCCTGTAGAAGATGTGTATATGCAACGTGTGTATGTTAAGATAAGCTGTGTTCTGTTACATGTCAAAATGTTACGTTGTATGTGATGCTGCCTTGCACAACTAACGTGCTTTGTGTTTTGCCGTGTCATGCCATGCCCTGCCACGTCATGTCCTGTCATGTCATACCATGTCATGCACGGCACGTTCATGCGATGTCCTGTTATGTTTTAATTTTGGTATGCTATGCTACATGCTGTTGCTACGCCATGCAGTGTTTCGGGTGTACATTTTGATAAAAGCATTCTAGTTTTATACGCGAATGTATAGGTTATATACGATAGATATGTACGTGGGTGTAGATATATGTACATATGTATATGTGTGTGTGTGTGTGACCTGTTTATCTGTTATATATATATACACACACACGCACGTATGTATATGTATAGGTATATGTAAAGGTATATGCATATGTGTATGTAAATACATATAGATATGTTCACATGCATACTCTATATATTTATTTGGTCCCCCCCCCCCCCCCCCCCCCAAGATCCACACCCTCTCTGTTCCTCTCTCTCACGCATAACCAAGCGTTTCGAACCTACCTTCTCCATGTGCAGAACGTGCTGTAAATACCAGCGGGAACGGCTTCTCTGTAGAACAGCTACTTTGCTCATAGCATGTCTACAAACTCTTGACATCGAACATTTTGCACACCAGGATCTGGTTCCGAAATCAATGGCTTAGTGGGAGGCAGAGTGCCAACACCAAAATACCGCCAAGGAACCAAAGGCATGACATAACTTGTATTTTTGGAAAAATTTGTTGATATACCACTACGCACAATAGTATGCTGTCACTATCAATCTGATTTTACAAGCATTAGTGTTGAAAAGTGCTGTGCAGTCCTTTTCATTTGGGCTTGGGAAAGCCAAATTTTAGGGACAGCACAGCACTTTTGAAGCTCAGGTGCCCTAAAGTGCTGTACTGTCCCTACAAGTTGGGTTCTCTGCCAAATTTAGGGACAGTACAGCACTTTTGAAGCTCCAGTGCCCCAAAGTGCTGTACTGTCCCTGAAATTTGGCTTTCCCAAGCCAAAAGTGCTGTACTGTCCCTAAAAAACCTAAAAAACCTATCCCCCAGCAACCTGCATGCGTTCCCAGCCGATAGTCTCTGGAGGATAGGTTTTTTTGGTTTTTTAAGGACAGTGCAGCACTTTTGGCTTGGGAAAGCCATATTTTAGGGACAGTACAGCACTTTTGAAACCCAGGTGCCCTAAAGTGCTGTACTGTCCCTAAAAGTTGGGTTTGGCAGAGGCCAAATTTAGGGACAGTACAACACTTTTGAAGCTCCAGTGCCCTAAAGTGCTGTACTGTCCCTAATATTTGGCTTTCCCAAGCCAAAAGTGCTGTACTGTCCCTAAAAAACCTAAAAAACCTATCCCCCAGCAACCTTCAAGCGTTCCCAGCCGATAGTCTCTGGAGGATAGGTTTTTTAGGTTTTTTAGGGACAGTACAGCACTTTTGGCTTGGGAAAGCCAAATTTTAGGGACAGTACAGCACTTTTGAAACCCAGGTGCCCTAAAGTGCTGTACTGTCCCTAAAAGTTGGGTTTGGCAGAGGCCAAATTTAGGGACAGTACAACACTTTTGAAGCTCCAGTGCCCGAAAGTGCTGTACTGTCCCTAAAATTTGGGTTTGGAGAAGCAGAATTCAGGTACCATTCTACTCTAAGTTTCTTGCTGGAACCGTGAATGCTGCGGCAAAGATTGTTGGATGTGGACGATCTAATTATTTTCAGTACGAACATGAGTCCGACGTCTCGGCAAACCATGTGGAGCAGGACTGATGCACGATTGCTTCGGGCCGATGTTTTGTGCGCGAGGAGTCGCTGGGTGCCGATTCACAGCTTACCGCTGGAGCATCGAAATCAAAATGGTGCCTGCGATGGCATTTGCAGAGGCAAGGCAGCTCCCCTAGCTATTGTTCCAAAGGAAGTCAAGCATGGTACCTGTGGCTTTCCACATGTTGCCATAGCGAAACCAGTAGGTGAACTGGGCTGAGCGAATCTTCCTTGTGAGGGCCTGGTTGCCTGGAGTGCGATCTGTGTGCTTCAAAAAGCTACGCAAATGTCCCCAAAAGCGGTCGATTATCTGCGTGCCGCTTTTCACACTCAGAAAGTTGCCGTTCGGCAGCTTCACCTTGTACACTTTCGTGTAGTGAGGCTTGATCATATGATAAGGTATTCCAGAGGCTCTAGGGTATTCAATAAGGCATGAGGGTATTCTATATCAGTGCATTCCATATGAAAGGTTTCAAGATACATAGAGAAAATATTCTACAGGACATCCTATAAGATATTCTATAGTGTCGTGTAGAGAGTGTCCTATAGGGTATGTGTAATATAATGCGTGCGGTGTCATATGTGTTCAAGGTATATATACTGTATACATGGACTGTCATATATAGGGCCACAGGGGCATTCTGTCAGGTCTTCTTTGGAGTATTCCAGACGGTCTTCCATGAGGAGTGCGATATATAGAGGGTACTATGTGTTCCATAGGGTATTCTGTAGGGTATTCTATGTCGTATTCTGTAAGGTACTTTGGATATTCAAAAGATATACGGGCCATGACTGAAAGTATCAGAAGCTCTAGGGTATTCAATAAGGCATGAGGGTATTCTATATCAGTGCATTCCATATGAAAGGTTTCAAGATACATAGAGAAAATATTCTACAGGACATCCTATAAGATATTCTATATAGTGTCTTGTATAGAGTGTCTTAAAGGGTATGTGTAATAGAATGCGTGCGGGGTGTATCATATATAGGTGGTCTTGTATACGGTGTGCGACAGGATATTCAGATGGATTTGTACAAGATATAAATGTTATGAGACTGGAATTTTGCAAAGTGTTCTAAAATGTAATCTAAAGGGTACTATGTTGGTGAAATACAAGGTGTTGAGCCCTGAAAGTATCGATAGATTTCGTGTTCACGGACATTATCTATAATCTCGATGCGTCTTATATATGGGAGGTGTAGAAATAGGGCCGTCTTTTCATATCGATACTTGTCGTGATACTATGTTATATGGGATGATATATTTTTGCTTTCCTGTTGCGTGTTACCTTCAGAGCCCATACTGCTGCATGCAAAAACCTATACACACACAGAACATGCATGCAAGCTTGCGTTCTTTTGCAACACGAGAAGAAGCCGTACGCGAATGTATGTCGCATGGAAAACTCAAGGTGTATATGAAGGAAATGCAGAATGTAGGATCTGCGAAATCTTTGGTGCTGTCGCAGCGTATTTAGGCCAGTACCTGGGCAGGGCAGGCGTGGATCTTGGGGGGGGGGTGAGCTATTATTTATATGTATATACATATATATATATATATATACACACACCAAAAACCTATGATTGTGCGCGTGAAACTGTATATATGCATCTAGAGAGACAGATGGATGGACAAATAGGTAGACGGATAAATGGACTCATGCAATTATATGTTTTTCTACATGTGTTTCACTTGCACTGCAATGTGTGTCCAAACCGCTGGTTAATGCGTCCGGCCAGCACACAGCCAGCACGAAATGTCGCGAAAATCATCGGCTATCTGGAAAATGTCTCACGGCCCGGCAACAACCGGACTTCATGAGATCCCTTGACATCAAGACTTTACATGCTGCCCCCATAAGACCGATAAGACTGATCACCAAGGCTGTCTGTGTTTCACGCTGTGAAGTTGATGGTGTTCCATCAGAAAACGTGATGAACATGCTGTGTATCTTTCATGGTCAGCATCTACACACGGAAATGGATTACCATCTCTGGAAAAGCTTGCCCACCGTCATAAACGATGTACTCCCGGTGTACCTGTGCTTGCGACATGCGCGGTTGGGACCTTTCTCCAAGATTGGGCAGACACTTGTGGCAATCAAGGGGCCCAAAAAACCCTAAAGCCTGAACCCCCAAACCCTGAAACCTGAACCCCTAAACCGTAAAGCCCTGAAGCCTAAACCCTAAAGCCTGCGCTGAAGCAGAAGTCAGGCCATTGGCGTGCGGAACGTGCGGGGTGCCCGCATCCGCGATGACGGAGTTGTAGCGACCTTCAGGGTTTAGGTTTTAGGCTTTAGGGCTTTCGGTGTTTTGGGTTTAGGGTTTGGGGCTCCTTTCAAGGGAGCTATAAGCGTACCTGCAAGGGGCTCAGGGCTTTGGGTTTAGGGGTTTTTGATTTAGGGTTTCAGGTTTAGGGCTTAAGGTTTAAGGTTTAGGCTTTAGGGGCTTAGGGTGTAGGGCTGGATCTGAGTTGAGGTTGGATCTTGGCAGTGGCAAGTTCTGGCAAACTATCCCTAGGGCTCCAGTTCCCTAAATAGTAGGTTACCATGCAGTATCTATCCCAGTGTTTAGGCAACTGGAGCCGTAGGGTACAGTAAGGGGCGGACTTGGCGATCTGGATGGGTCCCGTTCTGGAGCCTCCCTTTCGCCGAGCATTGTGCCCTTCGCGATGAAGGGGTCTCCCAGGAGAACTCCTGCTGATAAACTAGACCTAAGGGTAACCTAGGAATACAAAGGGTGCCCTTTTTCGTTTAAAAGGGTGTTTTAAGGGAGCCTAAGCCCAAAAAAAGGAATAAGGGCCTACTCTGGGTCCTAGTAAAGAGATAAACACAGCAAAACCTCGCCTGCGCATTACAAGCACAGCTTGTGCGAGAGGCGCTCCTAACTATGACAGCCGCAGATCCATCAGGAAAACTCTTCAAGCAAACCGCAAACCCTACTGTTGATGATATAAGTCCTGCATTAACTTAAGGACCCAAAACTATGTGAATTATGGTATATCCCTTATTCTGGGTAATGCAGGATTTTTATCAACCCCATGAACCTTTATCGAGGTCCGGGTCCCAGTCCGGGAAGGCTAAAGCATCTCAAGAGGAAGGAGAACGCAAAGCAAGGTCTGGCTAAAGCCTTTACTCCAAGTAAGAATAAAGCAGAATCGATATGAATAATAAGAATACTCATAATAACCACAATAGAAGCACCAAGCGTCTGGCTACGATGAAGATCCCATCGCTCCCTCCAGCGGCTCCGCTGTACTGGTAACCTTTCAAGTTTCAGGCTCACGGTCCGGACTGCTAACGTGCTGTTCGTGAAGTTTGACATTGTGGCTCGGGGTTTCCATCAATCATCACGGCTGGCTTAGGCTTAAGCAGTGTTCTTCCTGTGTTGTGCAGTCTTGGGGGGTGTCCAGCTGGAGGCAGCCTTTGCGATTGAAGCTTCAATGCCATTGGAAAGCAATTGAGGCCCCGGCACTTGCAGCTTTGATCTGCGAAATAGATGCCCTGCCCATACAAGCCTTTTGATCCCGACAACCTCTCGTTGAAGCCTTTCTTTGCGATGACTTCCTTGTTCTCGCGCCGTGTGCCGTGGAGCAGCAAAGCTTCGCCAACCTCGTTGTGGGGCTCCCACGGTTGGCGCTTGGGGATCTTGAAAACGCCATATGGACGAAGCATAGGGGCCTTAATAATTAGAATAGGGTTTGGGGGCCCATTCTGAACCCGCGAAATAGCATAGGTAACTATTTAAGCCCCTATATAATGGACATACTGACATCAACATTCACAGGAGAACTAACCATGTGCTCCATGGCCTGACTCAGCAGCCACATGCAACGAAACACGGTAACAGCTTCCCTGGCAACTACAACAACCTTGATTGAGATAGAACACCGTTTAAGAATCTTAGTATAAATATCCCTAGTATAGGCCTTAATGGAAGGGGTTCTAGCCATCAGGGGTCCTTTATACCGAGACCCCACGTCGGCGATGACTCACAGGAGTTAAGTACCAAAGGCTGGCCTGGGCTGAATCAAACACCGCGCCCTTTATAACTAATGGAGCTCAAAGGTATAAACTACAACACCATAGTAATTACAGTAAGGAACCCTAGGAAATCGTACCAAAATGCATTTGGCTTCATGTTAGGCATTAGGAGTTCTAACGACAACCGGCTCTAGTGTTGCACATGATATCAGACCTAGTTCTCGATGTCTGGGTTATACGGTCACGTTGAGGCGGGCATTGCCCAGACCTTCCAATACCCCTGACGAAATGAAATCAAATGTACCTTAACTTGTAAAAGGGTTCCTACAATTATTTAAGGTACATATTCCTTGAATGACAGGATATTGGAAGGTCTGGGAAGGGTTGTTCGCAGATTTCTCCAGGTCGGGGTTGAAGCTTCTGTTACTGTTCCAATAAGTCGCCGCAAACGACAGCACCAGGACCACAATAAGCTAACTTTGCTGACTTCTGAACCCCTCCCAATAGTTAAACTTGTAGCCTCCTTGCTATAAGTTCATGTAGAATGCCAAAAAGTTAAAGCCCTACGTCAAGTTAAGGATGCACGGACCGGAACACGGAACAGACCGAAGCTCCTCACATCTTCCATGCAAGGCCCCAGCCGGGTGTTTCCGACAATTGGGGGCTGGGGGCCCCAAATATAGTACCCTCCCTAAATAGTAGGACCCTTAGTATAAGGGCACCAAAATAAGGCACCCTTGATTCTCGGAAACTCCCAACTGGAAGTAACGGAGCGACAGCACAAATACCAGCGGCAATCAGCTTGACCTACGACTCGTCCTAACTCTTGTTCCGATTTAGAGTGCAGGTTTTAGTCTACGTAAGGGTTTAGGCAAACTGTGAAAACGAAAAGAACATGCTGACGAGGTCGAACCTGCCCAAACGCCCTCAATGCCGAAAACTGTAAAGCCGAAATCCTGCCAGCCTAAAATACTAAACCCTTCACCCCGGTCATGAACATGACAACGACTAGGATACCCAGTAACCTAAGAATAAAAAGGCCTCTCTTTTTGGTATTGGGTAACTTTACAAGGAACCCAGGACTACAAAAAGGGAATAAGGGTACTACTGGAGATCCTAGACGATGCCCTGCCCAGCAAATGCTCAGAGATACCTGCAACTGCGAGCGGGCTGTCTGCCAAGGCACTTCTTCATCAAGCTGAATGAACGGGAAGGTTTTCTGAAGCAAGTCGGAGAGGAGAGACTTCCTTGCAATGATTGAATATAGTATTGGGGCCTTAATAATTGAAATATGGTGTTGGGGTCCTTTATTTATAGTATAGTTGTAATAAGGAACCCTAGGAATGCTATGATTACTAAGGCTTCTACATGAAGGTTTCGGGTCTTAGGGCACGGAGCCTTTAGGGCTGTGGGTTTTGGGTATTTGGGTTTAGTGCGTGGGATTCTGGAGGTGCCGCGCAGACCTGGCCTCTCCCAAAGGGTCCAAAGTACCGACATAGTAGAATGTAGGGTCTCTATAGTTAGGAATTACTGATCTGGGGAAGTATTCCCCATAACAGTGCATGGGGCCCTTTGGTTTGAGGGATACATAAGTTGAAGGTTTTGCCTCACGGTCCAATCGGGGATGTAGTCTATCCATTGGCACCGCGAACGGCACTAGCTGGGCGCCAAGTGTCGGCGGGGTAGGTTGCACCTTCTCCTCCTTCAACTCGCTGCGCAATCTGTCCTGCAACGTGGATTGCAACATGTTGATGGTTCTGGGCTAAGGGTTCGGGCCTTGACTTACTTGGCGAGTATCACAAGGGAACTGAAGGTTAACCTTTGGGATGAAGTAAGAGATATATATGGCTATATTATGACAACTTTAAAAAAATCACATGAAGGTCAAAGTTACCTATACAATAACTCTAATGCTAAGTTCAGGCCTTGAGTGGCTGGGTTCTAGGCTCAAGGAGCTTGCTGCGGGCTGGCGATTGCAAATGCAAACAAGTTGGACTTTGGGCAGAGCCGCAGCCTTAGTGTTGCTGTAGCGGCTCCACAAGCTGATGTTGTGGATCTTCTCGATCTTCACGATCTCCAAGTTCTTCATAGGGGTGCACCGTCCTTCACCTTTGACGCTTGCAACAGTTGCAGATGAGCAAACTGCGAGTTTCTGTCCCCCTAATATAGAGGCCTTAATAATTCGAATAGGGTCTTGGGGCCCATGATACTGTAATTATATTAAAGGAACCCCAAAATGGTATAGTTAATTATTTAGGCCCGTATATTACCCACAGACTCGGCCGCCTAAAGAAACTCTCCTGCCTCGAACCGAGGATGGAAATGAATCTGCACTTTTGATTGCGCTAAAAAGTCTTAGGGTTTTGGGTTGAGGGTTTAGGGTTTTGGGGTTTAGGCTTTAGGGTTTAGGGTTTAGGGGTTTAGGGTTTTGAGGGGTTCGTGGTTCCCTCACTAGTCAGTAGTCACTAAGCAACAGAAGGTGGCCTAGAGGTAGTAGCTTAGTCGTCATAGTCGCCCCAGGTGTCGTCGCGGCAGTGCTGCGTTGGGAAATTGCACCATGCCCGGGGGGGTAGGGTTAAGGCCAAATAGTGCTGGGATTCCCTATGCATTACTCTTAAGGATTGAGACTATTCGGTTTCCAACTTTTGGGCTTCTACTGTAGACCAAACAACCTTGCATGTACTCGGCTTCGCGCAATGCGACGTCTTCTTGAGCGCCTCCTGCAGCTCTTCTACCTGCAAGATAGGGTTTAGGATTTAGGGTTTAGGTTCAGAACAAGGCTTTAGAGGTATGTTGTAGTAGAACTTGAAACGGATTGGAGCGAGATTCCATTACTGTACCAACAAGGAACCTCAAGGAGGCCAATTGCCAATTGTTCAGGGTTTAGGGTTTAGGGTTTAGAGGCTTCCATGGTACTTTCGGCAAGCACAGTGGCCACGGGGAGATCATAGTCGTAAGAGCAGTGTACAAACGAAGACCACTCGGTGCTTAACTTACTCACCACCTTTCCATCTTGGAGCCCATGCGATTAGCGACGTAGATCGATTTGGCAGCACAACACCACTAACATCGAACCGAACATTCAACCTGAAAATGTCTCTTACTAACATACTAGCAGCATGAGCGCCTTGGTATTGACCTCCGACTCTTCGCAACAACTCTCCACATGCTACTCACGTTAAAGCGCCCTCATGTGGAATGAAACGCGGAGGCTTACGATCATAGGGGACTATACTTAAACAAGCCTTCGTGAGTCCTTATTGTAGGTATTGAAGCCCCCAACCCCCAACCCCCCTAACCCCCCTTAAGGGTCCTTATGATACAAAAATGCTGGGAAGCATACCCTGAGACAACTAGGATACCCAGTAACCTAAGAATAAAAAGGCCTCTCTTTTTGGTATTGGGTAACTTTATAAGGAACCTAGGACTACAAAAAGGGAATAAGGGTACTACTGGGCATCCTAGACTAAGACTCGAAGCCTCGAAACCTCCCCGATTACGAAGACCCCCTAAACCCAACACCCTAAAGGGAACTCCAGAAAGTTGGAATATGGTTTCAGGGTAGGATACCTTATAATTTACCATAAAGGGCTTAGGATAATCATATTCCAACTTTCTGGCTTTTACCTTAAAGCCTAAACCCCCAAAAACTTTGGATCGTGAAAAGACCGGCAAGGCGCTTTAGAAGACATGAAGTGATATGAACGGTTTAGGGTTTAGGGTTTCTGCCGGCTCTCAAAGGCGTCGAGGGGAAGTTGCAGGTAAGTGGGAGCTTGCGGTATCTCGCATTCCAGGGGTGTGCTCAAGCCTCGAGTTTAGATTCCACAAGCACCAAACCCGAAGACTAAACCCCTAAACCCCTAAACCCTAATCCACGGTTTAGGATTTATAGGGTTTAGGGCTTAGGCTTTAGGATTGCAGGCGAGACGCAAACCGGTCCTACATCATGCCTTACACACATGCTCTCTCCCACGCTTTCTCGCCTTGAACCTACCCTGCACCGAACTGGTCTAAGATCTTGAATACTCAGAGAGGGTGGCAAGGCAATTAGGGACACTCTACCGGAGATAATCTGCACGCAAGCAACCTTCCACCGACTATTCTGAAGGATGATGTATGCATGCAACCTGTTCGACTTGTACATTGCCCGACCAATGGCACGCCCAGCAGACGAACACACAGGAACCATAATGTTTGACTTGCAGCTGGGCCACCCATGGCCCCTCCGGATAGGAGGACAAGACGGGCACTTGAAGCTGTAGTTTTTGCCGAAACGACTCCTGTGCCAGGTACGAACGGCCTATATCTTTTGAATATACATAGTGTATGTTTGCATGTGTGTATGTGTTTGTGTGTATATGATTGTGCGATTGGTCATGCATAGGTCTCTCTGTACGCATGGTTTACTCTGAAGTTACAATAAGAAGCCCCCCAAAACCCTAATCTAATCATTAGGGCCCCTACATTATGCAGGTGGGAACGACCGGAGACAAGCACGGCCAGGCTGGCCAGCCACGAGGCAGAACAAAGGCACGTTGCTGTTCCAACATCGGCAGCGTGCTCGATACTATAAAGGCACGCAGTGCATGACGAATGCTGCGGTTTATTGCTTGATGCAAAGAGTTTGCGATCATAAGACTGCGACACACATTCCACTTTCCGTGAATGGCCGGCGACCAATCGTGACTAACCCTTCAGGGAGTCGACAGTCAGGTGCGGAGAGTGAACGAAATTCACAAACCCACTAGCGCGGCCTCAAGTGCGCCGGTGGCTTCCACCTGCTCGCGACTGGCATGAGGTGTTCAGTTCAACCGCGTTGCCGACACGCTCTTGTGGCTGAGAAAAAAACCGTCGCTACCCCAAGCCCTCAGACTTTTTGCTCAACCAGAGTTCGATCCCAAACATTGGTCACCGGTGAAGACTGCTGAATCCGGCTCGATGGGGGCAACGCCCGGCAGAGAGCCAAGCTATAAAAACCGCGTGCCTGGTTTTTGAGCTGGAGGTCCTTCTCGGCAAAACTCCCTGCGACTTCCTGGACTTGGCCTTACTTGGAGGGTCGGGAGACTTAGTAAGTAGGTAATATGTAGAATTATATAGTATTGTAAAAAGGATCCTATCTGGGGTTATGATACTACTTATAAGTTATAATTCTATAGAACGACCACTTACTAAGTCCCCCGACCCTCCGAATAACCACACCGTATTCTTGGGATTCCGAAGGGATTCCAAAGATGGACCTCACAGGTCTACTTAGTGAACCCTAAGGGCCCCTATGCCCAAATACTATATACTACCTACATAAGGACTACTTTAATGCCAATGTATATACTGCTCGGGTACATGGACCCTTAGGAAAGTGGCACCGAAGAAATAGGTAGGTTGCTGCTATTCCCAAGTGGCTCCTGAGCGTGCGGACCTCCACTGCCTTCTTATCCTGGGTTCTTGTTAAGGCGGTTTAACCTACGTCACCATAATAAGGACTCCGTATCCTTTACTATAGATCCTTCTTGTGGTAACTTAAAACAAGTTCCTTAACAAGAACCCAGTCTCAAGCATGTTATCCTTCGCCACAATGTCGCATCCGAGCTCTTGAACTTGCTGCTCCAGCTCGGTAAACTTCCTTAGCAGAATTGCTACACTGCTAAGAACCGAGAGAGCCCAATACCCCTTAATTGAGGAATATACATTAAAGTATAAGGTGGTTCATATTATGATTTACGCTATATTCCTAAATTCAGGGGTATTGGCCCGCTCTCTGGGATCTGCTAAGTGAACCCCATAACACCTTCAATAAGGGCGCAAACTACTGCTGCACAGCTCGACTTGTCATCCGAAGATCTGTGCCGCGGAAGAGTGGAACTTGCGGTGCCTTCGAATTTTTCGGGCACGACCGGTGTGGGAGTTCTTCTGCACCAGTTTAGACAAATCAATCTCATACCGGCATCCATTGGTCTGAACATCGAAGCTGTGGATGCCGTTCTTGTGATTCTTCTCAATCTCCTGCCGCACCCGACTGTAAGGGCCTTTATTTATTGGGGGCTTTGTGCTAAGGAACTAAACTAATCATTCAGACCGCTCCTTAAGCGACCCCATAAAAACCCTGATGCAATCCGTCTTAAACCCGTCTGGAACTCGTACAAAGCCACAAGTGCCCCGGCTCATCCGGGACTCAGTCTTGCAGCTGCCATGGCTTTCAAACAAAGGAAAGGCCGTTTCACCTTTCTACCTAGAAGCTTGCACGAGAAATCACGAGAAGTTTGCGCTTTCAACGTCGTCTTGTGTGCGGTGCGGGGCATTTTTAACTTGGCCGAGCTCTGACACTGTCGGCTCCATACTGCTCCGTGGGTTGATGGAGGCTCGAGGCTACTTAAAGGCTCATGGGACTTAGTATTAAGGTTATAAGTAGGTTATAATTAGGGTAACCCCACTTAGGGGACTTATAACCCCAATTATAACCTACTTACTAAGTCCCATGATCCTTCAAGTAGTCAATGAAGAAATGCTGGAAAGCTCTGGACCCCGGGCTCAGTCCTCCTGCGCCTCTGGCCAGAAGGCTTGCCATGCTTTCTTCTCGCCGTCGAGGGCCAGATACCTGGGTTCTTGTTACCCTAAGGGTCCAGGTATGTCCTTACGAGGGTCCGGAATGTCCTAGAGAGAGTCCTTGGGTCTCTTTGGGGTCTCAGAAACCCTCAATTCTGAGGTTCCTCAAGTTGTTAGGACCCTTAGGGTAAGGACTTAGTTTAAGTTAAAAAAGAAAGAAAATCATATTATTTACCATACATCGCTATTATGGTACCTTAAATTCAAATCCTTTCACAACCTCTAAGAAGAACCCATAGGATCCTTACTATAAGGACCCCAAAGTAAGGTAAACCCTTAGAGTGCCCTATAAAGGAACCCTTATAGCACCCTTACGGTACCCCCTTAAAGGAACCCTAGGTACCCCTCCTGATTTCCCAGATACTCCCAGCGGGTTTCCCAAAGGATCGCTTCTTCCGAGTCCGACTCCCGGCTGTCATCCTCAGAGCTGCTTTTAAGGGACTGTACTTAAAGGATCGTGGGACTTAGTAAGGGTCCTTGAAGGACTCTTTAAAGGGATCTATAGGGTTCCTTAAAGTGATCTATGGGGTTTAGGGTTTAGGTTCTACTTCAAGGATCATGGGACTTAGTAAGTAGGTTATAATTGGGGTTATAAGTCCCCTAAGTGGGGTTACCCTACTTATAACCTTACTTACTAAGTCACATGAGCCTTTAAGTAAGGTTTAGGGTTTAGGGGTTTAGGAGTGCAGGGCTTCGGGTTTAGGGTTTAGGGGTTTACGGGATTGAGGGTTAGGTTAGGGGTTCTTAGGGGCTGAGTAGCCTGGCCCCAAAAAGGCTAACCCTTTCAATTAGGTAGGGTTTTTTAATGCCCAAAAGGTTTAAGGTTACCTACTCAGCTACTAAGTTTGGGACGTAGAGGTTTAGGGTTGAGAGTTTAGGCTGTTGTTGCACTAGTCACTAGTCCTCTGTATGTCGATTATTAGTGCCGCGAGGGAGGCCTGTATCCTCACGACCCAGCTGATGCGACCAGGCAGCAGAGGATTCCGAACCGGTGGAGCTGGTGGCGTTGTGCTTGTGCTCCATGAAGAGGTGGTTGAGAAGCTCCCACTGAGTTAAATCTCGATTGCATCGATCGCAGCGAAAGTTCTTCGCGCGCCTTTTCGACGGCCGCAACAAGATGCCGGCTCTGTTTGCCAGGTCTGCTGCTTCCGCGGGAAGCTCGTACTGACCACCTCTGACCACGAACTTTCCCCACGTCGACCAGCATTGTTTGCAGTAATCGTGGGTCGCCTGACCGTCCTGTGCTCCTCCACAGCGGACGCACGCCATGGCAAAATTCCGCTACAGGAACACCGCTGAGTTGCGACACTGCATGAAGACACGTGTTTCAACTGAAAGCCCCGTGAAACCCTTCAACAAATCCTACTGGCAACCCTGTTAGTGACATGAGATTGTTGGAGCATCGCACGGCAGTGCTAGCTGGAACGGTACCTGTCAGGTCTGACTTCAAGCTTCAGACTGCTCAGCCTATGAAAGCACGATTTTGAGTCCCCACGACATCTACCAAACGAATCTGCCACTTTTGACCAACCCTAAAAACAGGGATTTAGGGTTTAGGTTTCCCTAAACCCTAAACCCTATATAAACCCTAAACCCTAAACCCTATATAAACCCTAAACCCTAAACCCTAAACTTAGGGTTTAGGACGCCTGAAACCCTGCATCCTAAAGCCGAAGCCCTAAGCCTGCAAAACCCTTTGAACAGCAACTCAGAAGAATCCCCCCAGAAAAGGCCTTTAATCTAATTAGAATGGGATTTTGGAGACCAGCATACTGTGATTGTAAAAAGCAACCACCAAAACAGTATTGGTAATTATTCAGGCCCCTATAGTAGGCCCTTAAGCCTCTGCAGCACGCCCTGCACTTCGGCAGTTTGGCTGCGGAGCTGCTCCTCTCCGAGATGGGTAGCGAATGATACAATACAGTGAACCGCAGAGACTTGCCTGACTTCGGAACACCTCCTGAAACTTAAACTTTTAGCCTCCTTATTATAGTTCATATAGATTGCCAAAAAGTCAAAGCCCTAAGACCAGAAGACTGCAAGGTGAAATAATGCAGTGCAGTAAAGTAGGAAAAGGAGACTAGAAAAGACTAAATCAAATGGCTGTAGCAGGTTATAGGATCCTTAAGGGAGGGTGGTTCAAGGGGGGAGGGTAGAAGGAATCCTTAGGGGACTGTAAGGGAACCTTAGGGAGTACTAGGGAGGATTAGGGATCACTAGGCTATATACCCCCTTGGACCCCCCTCCCTTAAGGATACTACAAGCAGGGATGGTCTAGGGCCTAAGTCTCTAGAGTCTTAAGGTTTGCCTTTTGAATGAAGGCGTTGATACTGGGTTCCGTGCTGTAGTCCTCATTAACGGAAAGGTCTGCATCTCGGCCTTTTTGGGGCATTCTAGTTGCGGTTGATTGATGGGGGGCCAAAACGGGGGTTTAAGATTCTTGCGGTAGGGATTCCTTAAAATGAACCCTATTATGGGAACCCCAATCCCTACATATCCCACTAAACCCTCACAGGCTAAAACCCTTTTGGCCTCCTATGAGTGATATGGGTCGTCAGGCAAGTTTGTGGATTCGGAAGACGGTTGAGTGCGGAGAGATTAAAAAGGATTACGGTTGTGAAGCACCCCAAATAGTGCACTGACAATCCCAGTGGCTGATCAGGGGTGAGAACCATGAGACCCTACAAACCCAGTTGTTCATAAGAGGTGGTACATTGGTACATGGTCAGGGGCTGTTCTACTCGGTCTTGTTCCGAAATTTCTGAGTACGCCGAGTACGCATAGTACAAGGCAGACCCTAAGCCCAGAAGCTTTAGATCGTCCAGGATCTGGAAAGGGTTGGCGAAGGTGACTGCCAAAACAAGCCAGACAATCTGCGCAAACCCTCATCGCAATAACAGCATTGAGTATCAATAATGTAGTGGCCTTAATGATTAGACTAATGATTTGGGGTATGCAATAATACGGGCATAATTAAGGAACTCTACGGGATGTCCAGAATGCATTCAAGCCTAAACGCTGAAGGCTGCACCTGAAACAGTACCGTAGGTACCGTAGGCCCTCAAGGAACTGGCATAAACAAAACAACATGAAATCGACTCGTAAGCCCTATATACATCAACTACATCTTCGCCTGTAAGCTCAATGTCTCAAAACTTACATCGAATCGTATCCTACTTGTAGGGTCAGCAGACGTTCCAAGCCGAATAAAGCTGGGATGTGAGTACCAAAACCGGGGCATGTGTTAGGTTAACCGCCTGATGGCGAACGAACCCCCCGTAACAGCCGTCACTCTAAACCCTTAAACGCACGCTGCTAAGCACCTACGACAGTAGCAAGTGATTCGTTCACTCACAAGAACCGACACCAAATCGTCCTTGGCAAGGGCGGCCAGCTCCTCCAACGTAGTTTCGTCAATTGTGTCTTCACGGTTTGGGTTCACGGTTGTTTAGCTCTGCGTGCTTCTGCCCTGAGAGCATAGGCTAAAAACTATGTTCGGAGATCCCTTCAAGCAAAAGCCTTAGCGCCGCCTTAAGAAGAGCCGAACATGCTCCGGAAACCCGACCCCGGAGGGAGGTAAAGTGACAGTCCACTGCATGGTTCAGCAGGTTCAGGTTCGTAGGCCTCTGCACCATGTGCTTCTTTAACGGCTATCCTTGAGTGGTTCTCAAAAGGTTGACAAAGGTGCTATACATTCGAACGGATTGGTCAGGTTTCCCTGTAAGCACTTAAAACAGATGCCCGTTTTTCCGCCGATACAGTCTCAATAAAAAGACCTCAAAACTCCCACACCGGGAAGCCTAAATCCAACCTCCATCCCGCTGCCAGCTGCCTTCGTAGTAATTTGAGGCCCCACCCCCAACAGTCAATGAATAGGTTCCTCATGACACCTAAATCCAACCTCCATCCCGCTGCCAGCTGCCTTTGTAGTAATTTGAGGCCCCACCCCCAACAGTCAATGAATAGGTTCCTCATGACACCTATATAAGATCACAAGGGACCTGCAACTCATTTCAATTTGACACCCAGTAGCAAGTACCACTATGACAATCATGACAGGAAATGCCCAGCAGAATCATCTCAATGTTAGGATATGCTAGGCTTTGTGTTCAGGACACGGATCCTGAGAGTCCAATCAAGTGCCATGACCTTCGTTTGAGCTTTAGCTTCGCAGTGTGTGTGTGTGTGTGTGTGTGTGTGTCTGCCTGTGTGTGTGTGTGTGCGCTACCAGCGGCTTCGAAGGGATCATGGCTTAATACAGGGGCCTCAACAATTAGAACAGTTCTGAGGTACTTTATACAATTACCCTAGTAAGCATCCACCAAAATAGTATAGGTAATTATCAAGGCCCCTATATTACAGCTTCGAATTTGGTTCCGGATGGCGTTTAGGGTTTCAAAGGTTTGGGGGCGCCTGCTCGTACGTATTATGCAAGGCAAACCCTCAACATGTTAAGATCCTCGGGTATCCAATAGCGACTTAGGGTTAACGGATTGAGGACTTTAGGGTTTGAGGCTTTTGGGGCTTAGGTTTAGGGGACTTAAGAATTCGTGTTCCGGGCTTAAGACTTACTGTCAATGTAAGGGTCGGTTTGGGGTGAAGACTTCGGCAAGGCGGGCCTGGGCTATTGCGACCTAGGTCAATGCCTACGAATCACCCAAGTTGCTGCTTGGACCATGGGACTTAGTAAGGTTATAAGTACCTTAAATGGGCTTATAAATGGTTTCTGTACACATATCCCCAGTTACTAAGTCCCATGATCCTTTAAGTGGCGGGTGTAAAGGTCGGACATCGAATTGGTCGCTATGGTTCCAGTGCTCCAGACCACACTCAAGAAGAACACGATGAGCACAACCAATGATACTATTAAACCAATAGCAGCAACAGAAATATTTGTACTACTGATACCAACATATAGCACCAGCAACATCTGGCTTGCGTCCGGTACAAGCCCTGTGCTACATGTATGTGTGCAAAAATCTTTTCGAGACACCGAGACGGGCCGCAACGAGAAACCGGTCCTGGCTGTATCCACATGCTAGTGCACAATTGCGGGCTCCTCGGTGTGGCGCAACGTCAGTCGATCTTCAACCAGGCGTTGCACCTGCTTAGATTTCAGGGCTTTGGCCTTCATGCTGCCAGGCCCGACGATTTTCAGGGGTTTAGGGTTTAGGGTAGCTGATGCGCTCAGCTCAAAGTTCGCAACTTTGGAACTCTGAAAACCCTGAAGAAACCCTCAACTGGGGATCTATCCTGCACCCGAACCCTGAACCCTAAACTCCTAAACCCCTGAACCCCATTAGGGCTTCCTTGTACATGGTACCTCGAAGTAAGCACCGAAAGAAGGAACCCGGATCTTCCAAACATCCCGGAATTCAGGACGGTTAGGGTTTAGGGTTTAGGGTGTAGGGTTTAGGGTCAGGAACACCCCAACCCTAAACCCTAAACCCTAAAAACCCTGAACTCTAAACCCCTAAACCCTGAACCCTACACCCCCTAAACCCTGCAACAGTAATAGTAGGATCCCTGCGGTGAACCCCCGAAAGTTGGAATGTGGATGAAGGACGATTCGTGCTGGGATTCCTTTTCTTCGTCGCACGGTAATGAGGATTGCGATGTTCCACTTGTCTGGCTTACCCAACAACGTTAGACCCTCTGCCATCTGCCCGCAACCCTGGTTCCTATATAAACCTCAAGCCTCAACTTTCAGCCGGAGGCCCACGGCCAGGGTTCAGAGTTGGGGGTGTAGGGCAGTTTAGTGCTTGTTTTAAGGTTTGAGTTTTGGGTTTGGATTTGAACTTCAGAGTTTTTGCACCAGGCCCCATGAACAAAAACAACATATCTTCCCCAAGCCGCACGCCCTATAAGTTTTTCAGAAAAGAACACAGGGCTGCGGTTTTCACAGCAACGCACGTACACACATCTGCGCATTACGTGTACAAGTATGAACTGCTGCACATACGCACCTACCTACCTACATACCAACATATCTGGAAATGCTTATACATATATGTACGTATTTTGCAGTATCGAGAGATAGGACATCTGACCACATGTGTATACATGCGCATAAGTTCGAATGTGCACCAGTTTGCTTGCTTGTAGACATGATGGGGCTTACCTGGGGATCCAAAAACCTACCGTTTTAAGGGTTCGACCCTCTAATTATTAAGGGGTCATAACCTACCGTTTTGTAGGGTTTCGGGTCACAGGTACTATAGGGGCCTGATTAATTAGAACGGGGTTTCGGGCCCCATTACACTGTAACC